GAAGATGCACCATCATAAAACTTTGTAAAGGAACTCCTTTGAGAAGAGGCCATACTGCACAAAAAACAGTCAACGAAAAAGGCTCTAAGAAGCCAAAAAATTCGGAAAAAATACCAAACGATACCCGATCTGAGAAAACAACACAGATCCAGAAAGAGAACAAGGAGACGAGAAGAATGGTGGTGGTCCGGTCCAGAAACACCACCGGACGCGCCTCCACGCGCCGGAGAAAGCAGCTGCGCGTGGGCTTCACTCTCGGACAAAGAGGCGGCGCGTGAGAGAGCGTGGCAAGGCTTCTCCGGCTGAAATTTTTCCGGTGTGGTCGTCCGGTGAGCGCGCACCTGTCTGTGGGTGGTTGCGGTTGAAAAGTCACCGGAAAGGGTTCTAATTGGTGAAGACAGAACTGGTTGAAGGCGGTCGGAGGTGTTTGGGTCGTTTGTGGCGGAGGAACATTGCGTAGAATGATAGAATGAAAAAAAAGAAGGTCAACAGTGATCCCCTTGGTCCAAAAGGTCCCCGGAAAAATTTTTCCGGTGGCGGCTGATGGCGGCAAGAGGCAAAGAAATTAGGGTTTTGTAAAAAAAAAAAGACAATAGGCGCGGAAGCAGAGCCCTCAGGATCGAGAGCTCTGATACCAACTGTTGGGAAATTCATTCCCTCAAACTCCAATGTCAAGCAGGTCCAGGGGAAGCCCGTGGCGGGGAACCACCACCAATGAGCTAAGGCTACATCAACCGTAGCAAGTGGATCCGACACCATGTCTCAACCCAAAACCTTAAGGCATTGGGTTCATGGGTCCTTTCACTTATATACTCTTCACTTAACTCATTATCAACCAATGTGGGACTCATCACACTTGAATATCTCAACAATCTCCCCCTCAAGTGTGAAACCCACCATTGGTATGTCTGTTGGGAAATTCGTTCCCTCAAACTCCAATGTCAAGCAGGTCCAGGGGAAGCCCGTGGCGGGGAACCACCACCAATGAGCTAAGGCTACACCAACCGTAGCAAGTGGATCCGACACCATGTCTCAACCCAAAACCTTAAGGCATTGGGTTCATGGGTCCTTTCACTTAGCTCATTATCAACCAATGTGGGACTCATCACACTTGAATATCTCAACAATCTCCCCCTCAAGTGTGAAACCCACCATTGGTATGCTCCCCCTCAACCGAGTACCCGAAACGCAAAGTACTCGACCCGTCTCCTAGCCAATCACTAGGCTAGCTTGAGCCCAATCCGGCTCTGATACCAACTTGAAAAAGGGTTATGAAATATTATTGATTTGTATTTGAATCGTACATAGGGGTCTCTATTTATAGAGACTTCTTGACCTAATTTTGACCTAATGGGCTTGGCCCAATATACAAGTAACAGACTAAATAAATACAAATAAATGACTACATAATTACTAATAAATGACTACATAATTACTATTTACAACAAATACATTGATAAGATATATAATTTACATATAAATCTTTTAAGTTATTCATGAACAGTTCCAGTATGAGCAAACAAAACTATCTAAAACTCCATCATTGATGTTTGCACAATTTATGCGAGGTGAAGTTTTGTTCATACGAGAAGGGTTATATTTACAAAAATTTTATTTACAAATTTTTATAAATTATATTATGTACTCCGAGAAATATGTTCCTAAGTGAGTGTACTTCGCATAATACATAATGTCACCTGTAAGAATTTGTAAACAAAAAATTTGTAAACATAACTCTCCACATATAGTACATGGGATTTATACTTTTTCTACGGCGGGTGAACAACACAAATTGCAACTGACACAAACAATGCAAGCCAGTGAGTGTACTCCCAATAATATATAATATAGCTTATAAGAATTTATAAATAAAAAATTAATAAATATAACTCCCATCACATAATACATGTGATTTATACTTCTTATTAGATATTAGGTATAAGGATAGTTTAGTATTTCAATGATATTCTAGAATCTTCTCTTGCTCTTTTATATAAGAGCCTTATTGTACAAATTAATTACCCAATCAATGAAATCAATATTTTTCATTTTATCTCTTTTACCTTCTAATATGGTATCAAGAGCAATTTTTCATCCTCCGTGAATGGAGATTCCGCTGCAATCATAATTTTTTTCCTTTTTTATTCATCGATCTTATTTTCTCTTTATATATATTTTTTTTCGATCATCTTTTCCGGCAACTTTTCGCCGTGCATGATTTTCCGGCGTGTTCTTCAATTTTTTTTTTAGTTGCTAGTCATCTCTTTTTTTCCAGCACCTTCCACATTATCTCTCCGGTCCGGTATGGTTACGCCAAATATCCATGCCTTTTCCAGATCTCTCTAATAGCGTTCCAGATCTGTGTTCTTTGTAGGTCATCTTCTCCGGCGACTTCTAGATCTCTCAGATCTGTTTCATTTTCTTTCTCGTCGGACCTCCATGGACCTTCGCCATGTCTTTCTCTCCTCTGGCCACGTTTCTCTTCTTCCGGCCATGTCCATCTCCTTCTTTTCCGGTCATCATCTCCGACCGCGTCTCATTCTCCGGCCGCATCATCCATCTCTCCGACCGTGGTTCCAGATCATTCACATTTCATATCTGCATTTTTATCTACTCCGCCCGTGTTTCTCTTCTTTCGGCCGTATCTCCTTCTCCAATCATCATTTCCAGCCGCATTTTTTTTTTCTGGTCACAGTCTCCTTCTCCGACCGTCTCTGCTATTCCAGATCGTTGAAGTTTTTTGATCTGCATTTTCTTCTTCTCTGGCCGCTCCTCGGTCGTGTCTTTTTTTTCTGATTTGTTTCAGATCTATGTATTTGTTCTATTCTCTTCTTATTTTGCAGGTTAATGAAGATTCATGGAGCTCATGGATGTTTGCAATACTGCTGCATTTGTTGTTTCAGATCCTGAATTTTGGACAATTCATATTTCTTTTTTCTTTTTTCTTTTTTGGTTTTTGATTTTTCTGATGTACTGTTGTTGGCTCGTGGCTTGTGTTCTGGCCAGTTTAGTCATGTTATTGGATTTTTTATATTGCTATTATTCCAGTATTATTGCCAATGTCCATTCCGGCACTATTTTGTTTAGCTGATGTCCATGTCCATCTCACCTTGCCTTTGCTGATGTCCATACCAGCACAATTGATTTCACTGAAGCTCATTCCAGCACACTGAGGATTTTGGTTTCTCATTCAGGATTTTTTATTTTGTTATTATGTTTTCTTGATTTTTCTTATTCAAGATAGAAGTTCTCTTTGTTCACTCTCCGTCTTGAAGGGGAGTATTAGATATTAGGTATAAAGGTAGTTTAGTATTTCAATGATAATGTATAATCTTCTCTTGCTCTTTTATAACAGCCTTATTATACAAATTAATTACCTAATCAATGAAATCAATATTTTTCATTTTATCTCTTTTACCTTCTAATACTTCTTTTACGGCGGGAGAACAACACAAATTGCAACTGACAATGCAGGCCCCACCTCATTTTTAAATAAAGAAAAGAAAAGAAAAACTCGAATTTCCATGTCTGAGTAATATATTTTTTTATTGGTGCAGCAATCACAAACCTTGATTGTTATATATTTTGTTAACCTAATTTAATGATTAATAAAAATCTAGAGATTTGGGTTGTAACTTGAATTTTTTTTTAATTTATTACTTGTACGATTTGAAAAATAAATTAAAGTGAATTTTTTTTATTATATTCTCCCTTATATTTTAATAAATCAAATCATGTTGTATAATTTTCAAATATTTTAAATAAAAAGCAAAACATTATAATCAGCAATTGCTCTTCTTCCCACTGAATACGACATAAATTTCTGCAATGAGTGCTTTCATCTTTCAAAAATAATCTGTCAATTTTTTTTTTTTTTTTATCGGTTTCTCCCTTGGACTATTTTTTCTATCTAAAGTAGAGATTCTTAATTTGAATTATTTTCAATTAACTTCCCAGTAGTTTTCAAGTTACGAGAATATGTGTAAGCCATATTTTCAATTTAATAAAAAGAAATAGATGTATCATGTTGTAGAAAATTAGTTGTGTCGTGCTATAGACACAACCAATGTGAATCCTACCATTTTTTTCTTTTCTTTTTATTTTAAAAATGATGGGGTTCATATTGGTTGTCTCTATAACATAACACAACTAATTTCCTACAACACGATACATCTATTTCCCTTTAATAAAACCAGCCAGTTCGAATCAAATGAACTCGTTAACAAGCCACTCCTCCACCCTCTTGTCCTTCCTTAGCTCAAACCTGCAGACAGGGTGAGAATTTTCAGAACCAAACAAAGGAACAATAAAATCTCTCTCCATCATGTCTCCAACGCCTCCAACACTAAAGTTAACCTTGGACAAATAAGGATGAATCAGACCATAACTGCTTTTTTATTCCCCTCTTATAACATGAACTTCTAGTGATATACTCGATGTCATTAGTTGATTCAACAAACTCGCTTTCTCAAATCTACCAAGTCCCCAAATAAAATGAAATAGACAATAAGATTTTCCACTTTGTCGTTCTATTATATTTTTGCTCCACCCATAAAGTTCTAGTGGTTCACAGCGAGGATACATGAGGAAAATAAGAATTGCAATGGATGTGAATATGAAATAATACGTTATAAAATAACATCCTATGACAAAAAGAGCAAATCAACAAATCTAGTCAATGGTGTCACTTTCATTCACAATGAGATTTTAGCTGATGGGAGAATGAGACCAGATATAGATACATTCATAGATTATACAATGAGATACATTCCAGAATATTTGTAAAGTGCATTTTTCCCCTCAATTTACTCATAACTATGATACAACCAAGAGCCGCCGGGTCAACATTATCTTGTTCCAATTATATCATATGTCCCTTAAGAATCGTGTCAACATGGTCATTTTTCACCAAAATTCACAATGAAGCAGATATTGGGGAGCGAGAGGGGGTGCTTCACCACACACTACACCTCAACTACCTGGAAACTATTTTGCCATCTCTAGTCAAAGGGATTAAGATGTACTTTTGCTTTGGCCTTCCCTGCCAAGTGCTTCCTATTCTCTTGCTTGTATCTTTTCCATTCTCTTAAAGCAGCTAGGCCTAGGAGGACATGCATTGAAACTGGTAGAAAAAATGGCTGCACAGTAAAAGGAAAATAGACATGACAATCAGTAAACTTCAACTTGCTGCTTAAAATTGTGAGTGCATCTCAACTCATTCCCATGAACTAGTCGTTGAGCTCATTTTTAGAGCTAGAGGGGCAGTGACAACAAACATTATGTGGTTGCAGAGAAACAGATAAAAGAATTTAGATCATATACGAACAAAGAAAAGCCAATTCCGAATAAAAAGGCTGGAGAGAACATTTTTCAAGCTTCCATCTATGACATCTTTTATGAGCAGCGTGGATCTTCCAATTCCTTAATATTCATTTCCCACTTTTGTGGTAAAAATCTTGTCAAATTAAACAGGAATTATGGTTTCAAGGAAGGGAGATGCATAATCTGCATTCCCTAATTGTGAATGTCAAAAAGATAAAGATGATCTAGTCAATATGGTGGAATCATCTAAAGGTCAAGTTTACCAATCCGCATAAGCCAGATTATACACAATTAGTATTTAGGGAAGCAAGGATAAGAGTTAAAGGACAAACCGAATAGATGGAAAAACAATGCTCAAACGAATAATAGCTGATGGACATAATTGAAGGATGAAAACAGGCATCCTCTGCCAGAGATCTTGATTCCCTTGATGATACTCACAAGAAAAAAGATTAATCATGTTTTAGAAATAGAAAACAGCCTGCTAATCTTCGTCAAAGTCAGTAACAAGCGTTTGAAATCAATGTAAAGTCAAAACAAAGCATACCAGCTGAAGCATCATATAATCCAACACCCGCATTACTTTGACAAAATTTTGCAGCCTCTAGAGAAAACTTCACCTGCTCAAACACCACAAAATATTGAAGGGGAAGAAAAGTGATTTCAAACCATCTTTTAAAAACTAAAGAGGAAAGAAGATATTTATATCAAATAATCAGGCGGAAGTGATTGTATACTATGAAGCACGGATACGCAAAAAAAAAAAAAAAAATTCTACGTATCGGACACACGTCCGATACGGATACGTTGGGATACTCATTTTTTGCGTATCGAATGGGTCAAATGCGTCAATGGCATTTCAGTAATTTTTTAAAAATAAAGCGTGTTTTTTTTTTTGGCAAAAAGCACCCCAAAGGCCCAAATCGAATGAATCTCAAATCGCCCTTAAAGTTCTACTCACCTGGTCCTGACCTCCACAGTTGGTTCGCCATCGCTGGTTCCTCCTCTGCATTTGTTCGACGTCGGCCGTCGCTGTTCCTCCTCCATGCCACGGTTTCGTTCGCACTTCACAATCGATCTTTCTTCCTCCTTGGCTGTCGGTAGTTGTTCGTCCTCCGACCTCCATCGTCGTTCTTCCTCCTTGGCTTTTGTTCTGCTCCTTAAAAAGCTGGCTTTGAAACTCACTGCACAACCTTCTTCTTCATCATGTGCTGAACGCAATTGGAGTACTTACTCTTTTGTGCATTCCATGAAGAGAAAAAAAATGGATCCCAAACTAGCTGAAGACTTAGTTTACATACATAGCAATCTCCGGCTCTTATCAAGAAAGAGTCCAAAATATAATGAAGGAGAAAGTCAGTGTTGGGACATTAGTGGAGATGCAGTTGATACCTTTAATGATGTTGGAAGCTTTAGATGGTGCTACCATTTCCTTAGATGAGCCAGAGATGGAAGCAAATATTATTAGTAGCACTTCATATCCACACACTAGTTGAGGTATTTATCAATTTTGTATGGATAATCTACTATTTGTGCCTATGATTTTATTATATTTTGTTAATATGAAGTACACTATATTAAAAATATTATTTAATACTAATACGTATTAGAACGTATCAAAATATTAGTATTTTTGAAGTAACGTATCGGACACACGTAGCGGGAACGTATCGAAAACGCTGTGTCAGTATCGGTGCTTCATAGGTTCGCTTCTTGCTACAGAACTTGCCACGACTCCTTGAGGATGAATTTAAGTTACTTTCTGGTGTAGAAGACAAAATCATTTCCCTTACGAAAGAGCTTGAGTTTTTTGACTTTTTCCTCAAGAGCTCCGAGGGGAAGCGCAACAACGATTTTGTGAAAGAATTGGTGAGCCAAATAACTGATGTTGCCTATCAAGTTGAGGATGTGGTAGACACCTACATTGCCAATGTTACCCAACACAGAAGCATAGACATGTTTGAAAAGTCAGTCACCTTACCACCACATGTTATGGAGCTTCACAATGTTGATCATAAGATAGGGAAGATCAAGAACTGTATTGATGAAATTTATAAGAACAAGGAGAGATATGGCATCGGAGAAGGCGAATTTAAAAGTGAAGAAGAAGAACAAGGTATAGAATCACTCCGTAAAAGGAAGAAGGATGTGGAGGAAGAACATGTAGTTGGCTTAGTTCATGACACCAGTGTTGTGATTAAGCAGCTCATGGAAACGGATTCGCGTCTTAATGTGTTTCCATAATTGGTATAGGTGGGTTGGGCAAGACCACACTTGCAAGAAAGATCTACAACAACTCTCAGGTGAAGGAGTTGTTTCCTTGCCGTGCTTGGGGTTATGCGTCTAACTATTACAGACCCATGGAGCTCTTGCTAAGCCTTCTCAAGTGTTTTCAATTGTCCGCATCTGAATATAATAATTTAAAAGAAGATGAACTGAAGATGAGAGAATGCTTGAAGGGAAAGAAGTATCTAATAGTGCTTGACGACATTTGGAAAACTCAAGTTTGGGACGAGGTAAAAGCTGTCTTTCCTGATGATAAAAACGGTAGCAGAATACTGATAACAAGTCGTATAAAAGAGGTGGCTTCTTATTGTGGAACAACCCTTCCTATTACCTTTCATTTCTCAATAAAGAAGAAAGTTGGGAACTATTTTCCAATAAGGTGTTTGAAGGTGAAGAGTGTCCTTCTGATCTAGTGCCTCTGGGAAGGTCGATTGCTGAAAGTTGTGGGGGTTTGCCACTTGGTATAGTCGTCTTAGCAGGATTTGTTAGAGAGAAAGAGAAATCAGAGAGAGAGTGGTCGAGATTGAAGGAAGTCAGTTGGCATATCACTCAAGACAAGACTGAAGTGATGGATATACTGAAGCTTAGTTATGACATCTTGCCTCGAAGATTAAAGCCATGTTTTTTGTATTTTGCAATCTATCCTAAAGACTATGAGATCGATGCGAGCGAATTGATGGAATTATGGATTGCCGAAGGATTCATACAACCAAAAGAGAGTGGATGAGCTGGTGGATTGTAGCTTGGTGCAAGTGGCAACTAGGAGGATTGATGCAGGTGTCAAATCATGTCGTGTTCATGATCTTCTCCTTGAACTGTGCATATCTGAGAGCAAGGCCAATATGTTCTTGGAGGTTTGCACGGAGGCAAACATGGATAGACTGGTCAATCCCCATAGATTCTCGTTGCACAGGGGAGCACAATCGTATCTCTCTTTTGACAAATTTAATCAATCATCCACTCGTTCCTTGTTCTTCTTTTATGGAGAGATATACCAAGATCATGATTCCAGAACGTCATGTTGGCCCGTGTACTACATGCCGAAGCATCAATATTTTCTTCACTATGCATTGATTTGAAGATGATGATCCATTTGAGATACTTGAAAACATCGACGTTCGACACAGATATTCCAGCTTCTATATGCAGCCTTTGGAATCTAGAAACGCTACATTTACGGCAACTACCTTTATACCAGAGTCGTCCGAAAGGAATGGGAAGGTGTAGCGAGTTGTGAAGCCTTACCAATCTCCGTTCGATAAAATTAATCGGGTTTGAACAGCTTCATTGGAGTTTCCATCAAATATTGTGAAGATAACATTGCATGTTTCACTTAGCCACAACAAGGATATCATGAACACTCTAGGACGGCTTGTCAACCTTCAAATTTTGAAACTAAGACGTTTTGTCAATCTCTCTGACCTTATTTTTGCTGCTGGAGAGTTCCCACGGCTTCGAGTGTTTGAGATGAAGCAAATGTTTGTCAAAAAGTGGAGATTAGAGAAAGGTGCAATGCCTAATCTTGAATATTTGCTCATTGATCGGTGCCATTACTTGGATGAGCTTCCTGAAGAACTCTGGTCCTTGACAAGCTTACGACAAGTGAGTGTAGTGAGTCCCGGCAAAGAATTGGAAGACAGCCTCCAAAATGTGGAGTTGAAGAATGGTTGTAAGTTAATAATCTCGGATGTTTATGATCCTCTTCTTCCTTCAAACTGAATAGGAGCTATTGCTTAATTTATAAAAGACGTATGTCACTTATAGGCTCAACATTTCCATTTTTAATCTCGCTTCTTGTCTAATTTCTTTTTCCATTTTTATCTAATTTCTCGAGATTAAAAATGGAAATGTAGAGCCTATAAGTGACATACCTCTTTTATAAATTAAGCAATAGCTCCTATTCAGTTTGAAGGAAGAAGAGAATCATAATCATCCGAGATTATTAACTTACAACCATTCTACAACTCCACATTTTGGAGGTTGTCTTCCAATTCTTTGTCGGGACTCACTACACGCACTTGTCGTAAGCTAGTCAAGGACCAGAGTTTTTCAGGAAGCTCATCCAAGTAATGGCACCAATCAATGAGCAAATATTCAAGATTAGGCATTGCACCTTTCTCTAATCTCCACTTTTTGACAAACATTCGCTTCATCTCAAACACTCGAAGCCGTGGGAACTCTCCAGCCGCAAAAATAAGGTCAGAAAGATTGACAAAACGTCTTAGTTTCAAAATTTGAAGGTTGACAAGCCGTCCTAGAGTGTTCATGATATCCTTGTTGTGGCTAAGTGAAACATGCAATGTTATCTTCACAATATTTGATGGAAACGCCAATGGAAGTTGTTCAAACCCGATTAAATTTATCGAACGGAGATTGGTAAGGCTTGACAGCTCGCTACACCTTCCCATTCCATTCGGACGACTCTGGTATAAAGGTAGTTGCCGTAAATGTAGCGTTTCTAGATTCCAAAGGCTGCATATAGAAGCTGGAATATCTGTGTCGAACGTCGATGTTTTCAAGTATCTCAAATGGATCATCATCTTCAAATCAATGCATAGTGAAGAAAATATTGATGCTTCGACATGTAGTACACGAGCCAACTTGAAGTTTTGGAATCATGATCTTGGTATATCTCTCCATAAAAGAAGAACAAGGAACGAGTGGATGATTGATTAAATTTGTCAAAAGAGAGATAAGATTGTGCTCCCCCGTGCAACGAGAATCTACGGGGATTGACCAGTCTATCCATGTTTGCCTCCGTGCAAACCTCCAAGAACATATTGGCCTTGCTCTCAGATATGCACAATTCAAGGAGAAGATCATGAACACGACATGATTTGACACCTCAATCAATCCTCCTAGTTGCCACTTGCACCAAGCTATAATCCACCAGCTCATCCACTCTCTTTTGGTTGTATGAATCCTTCGGCAATCCATAATTCCATCAATTCGCTCGCATCGATCTCATAGTCTTTAGGATAGATTGCAAAATACAAAAAACATGGCTTTAATCTTCGAGGCAAGATGTCATAACTAAGCTTCAGTATATCCATCACTTCAGTCTTGTCTTGAGTGATATGCCAACTGACTTCCTTCAATCTCGACCACTCTCTCTCTGATTTCTCTTTCTCTCTAACAAATCCTGCTAAGACGACTATACCAAGTGGCAAACCCCCACAACTTTCAGCAATCGACCTTCCCAGAGGCACTAGATCAGAAGGACACTTTTCACCTTCAAACACCTTATTGGAAAACAGTTCCCAACTTTCTTCTTTATTGAGAAATGAAAGGTAATAGGAAGGGTTGTTCCACAATAAGAAGCCACCTCTTTTATACGACTTGTTATCAGTATTCTGCTACCGTTTTTATCATCAGGAAAGACAACTTTTACCTCGTCCCAAACTTGAGTTTTCCAAATGTCGTCAAGCACTATTAGATACTTCTTTCCCTTCAAGCATTCTCTCATCTTCAGTTCATCTTCTTTTAAATTATTATATTCAGATGCGGACAATTGAAAACACTTGAGAAGGCTTAGCAAGAGCTCCATGGGTCTGTAATAGTTAGACGCATAACCCCAAGCACGGCAAGGAAACAACTCCTTCACCTGAGAGTTGTTGTAGATCTTTCTTGCAAGTGTGGTCTTGCCCAACCCACCCATACCAATTATGGAAACAACATTAAGACGCGAATCTGTTTCCATGAGCTGCTTAATCACAACACTGCTGTCATGAACTAAGCCAACTACATGTTCTTCCTCCACATCCTTCCTCCTTTTACGGAGTGATTCTATAACTTGTTCTTCTTCTTCACTTTTAAATTCGCCTTCTCTGATGCCATATCTCTCCTTGTTCTTATAAATTTCATCAATACAGTTCTTGATCTTCCCTATCTTATGATCAACATTGTGAAGCTCCATAACATGTGGTGGTAAGGTGACTGACTTTTCAAACATGTCTATGCTTCTGTGTTGGGTAACATTGGCAATGTAGGTGTCTACCACATCCTCAACTTGATAAGCAACATAAGTTATTTGGCTCACCAATTCTTTCACAAAATCATCGTTGCGCTTCCCCTTAGAGCTCTTGAGGAAAAAGTCAAAAAACTCAAGCTCTTTCGTATGCGAAATGATTTTGTCTTCTACACCAGAAAGTAACTTAAATTTATCCTCAAGGAGTCGTGGCAAGTTCTGTAGCAAGAAGCGAACCTATGAAGCACCGATACCGACACGGCGTTTTCGATACGTTCCCGCTACGTGTGTCCGATACGTTACTTCAAAAATACTAATATTTTGATACGTTCCGATACGTATTAGTATTAAATAATATTTTTAATATAGTGTACTTCACATTAACAAAATATAATAAAATCATAGGCACAAATAGTAGATTATCCATACAAAATTGATAAATACCTCAACTAGTGTGTGGATATGAAGTGCTACTAATAATATTTGCCTCCATCTCTGGCTCATCTAAGGAAAGGGTAGCACCATCTAAAGCTCCAACATCATTAAAGGTATCAACTGCATCTCCACTAATGTCCCAATACTGACTTTCTCCTTCATTATATTTTGGACTCTTTCTTGATAAGAGTCGGAGGTTGCTATGTATGTAAACTAAGTCTTCAGCTCGTTTGGGATCCATTTTATTTCTCTTCATGAAATGCACAAAAGAGTAAGTACTCCAATTGCGTTCAGCACATGATGAAGAAGAAGGTTGTGCAGTGAGTTTCAAAGCCAGCTTTTTAAAGAGCAGAACGAAAGCCAAGGAGGAAGAACGACGATGGAGGTCGGAGGACGAACAACTACCGACAGCCAAGGAGGAAGAAAGATCGATTGCGAAGTCCGAATGAAACCGTGGCGTGGAGGAGGAACAGCGACGGCCGACGTCGAACAACGGCGGAGGAGGAACAAGTGACGGCGAACAAAAAGGCTGGAGAGAACATTTTTCAAGCTTCCATCTATGACATCTTTTATGGGCACCGTGGATCTTCCAATTCCTTAATATTCATTTCCCTCTTTTTTGGTAAAAATCTTATCAAATTAAACAGGAATTATGTTTTCATGGAAGGTAGATGCATAATCTGCATTCCCTAATTGTGAATGTCAAAAAGATAAAGATGATCTAGTCAATATGGTGGAATCATCTAAAGGTCAAGTTTACCAATCCGCACAAGCCAGATTATAAATAATTAGTATTTAGGGAAGCAAGGATAAGAGTTAAAGGACAAACCGAATAGATGGCAAAACAATGCTCAAACGAATAATAGCTGATGGACATAATTGAAGGATGAAAACAGGCATCCTCTGCCAGAGATCTTGATTCCCTTGATGATACTCACAAGAAAAAAGATTAATCATATATTAGCAATAGACAACAGCCTGCAAATCTTCATCAAAGTCAGTAACAAGCGTTTGAAATCAATGTAAAGTCAAAACAAAGCATACCAGCGGAAGCATCATATATTCCAACAGAAGCATTACTTTGAGCAAATTTTGCAGCCTCTAGAGAAAACTTCACCTGCTCAAACACCACAAAATATTGAGGAGGAAGACAAGGGATTTCAAACCATCTTTTAAAAAACTAAAGAGGAAATAAGATTTTTATATCAAATAATCAGGCATAAGTGATTGCATACAGCCAACTGAATTATTATATAACCAAAAATAGAAGTGGTGTTACTGACCAAAATCTGAAATTAAACATCATAAACTTAAGATGTTCACAA